GCCGCCTGCGCGCGCCCACGAAGCAGGGTCAGCAGGAACGACATGATCCTTCTCACCGCGTGCGTCGTATGCCTCGTCAGTAAAGTCAAAGCTTGAACCTAGGGCGTGGCGTGTGGCTTCTTTTACCTCTGAGATATGTTGTCGTCGCTCTTTGCTCACGGAGAGTAGTTGCTGGTATGCTGTTTTGGGGATTGATCGAGTGGGGAGGTTGGGCTGGGTGAAGTGTGTGTTTAGGCTGGCTTTTTCGTGCGCCTTAGTTAGAGTGCGGTGTTCGTCGCTGGGGAGGCCGCATGAGGTGGAGGAGGTGGGGTAGTATGCTGTTGGCATCTTGGGGTCTGGGGAGGGGGGGGGGGGGGGTCAGTTTGAGTGAGTGGAAAGGGGGTGGGGATGTGATACTGAATGAAGATGTTGTTGATATTGGATGAGATGAGGGTTATAAGGGGGGTGGGAGGGGTGGGAGGGGTGGTGTAGTGAGTGTACAGTGTAGTGAGTGTACAGTGTAGTGAGTGTACAGTGTAGTGAGTGTACAGTGTAGTGAGTGTACAGTGTAGTGAGTGTACAGTGTAGTGTAGGGCTGGAATGTTTCATTGAGGAGTATGTAGTGTTGAGTTGTTTGTGTGGATGGGGTGGTTTGAACAGTGTAGTTCATGATAATGCTTTCTATGAATGAATGGATAGATGATTAAGAGGACAGTGTATGATACTATACTATGCAAACAAAGACTAAGCTCACGATGTATTCCCGTCGAGCTATGCATGATGATGATGATGGAGAAATGCCCATACTACCCAAACTTTCCATTATTTTCATCCTGTCGGTTTAGTGTTTCTTACCTCCCATCCCAAACACCTTTTTCAAAGATGTGCGAAACCCAGACCTCTCCCTCACACCTTTCCTTTCCCTTTCCCCTTCCACCACCATCACTATCTCCTCCTCCGTCTTCCCAGCCGACGTAGGATAACACCCAAAATCCCCCTCCCCAATAACCGCCAACATCCCTTTTACCTCGGGCCCCAACTCCAAATCCCACTCCCACTCCCCCTCCTCCCCCTTTTCTTCTTCTTCCTCTTCTTCTGCACCAGCATGCACTTCACCCACACCAATACTCATCTGCTCGCTCCGCTCACTCCGCTCATCAGCATAAAAGTCCAAATCCTCGGGCAGGATATCGCTCAGACGAGTAGAAAAGCGTTGTGGTGTAGCCATGCCATCGATGACTGTTGGGTCAGTTGACCAGTTTGAATAACTCAAAGTGCGGTAGTAGGAGGAGGGCTGTGAGGCTAGACTGGGGCTGGGGGTGGAGGTGCGTGAGGGTAGGATGGGTGAGTCGGTTTGGAAGATTGGGGATGTAGGGCTGGGACTGGGACTGGGGCTAGGGCTGAGGAGAAAAGTTTGCTGGGCTGGTGATGTGACGGTGGTGGTGGTGGTGGTGGTGGTGGTGTTTTTGATGCTGCGGAGTGTGTGTTGCGAGTGACGACGATGACGATGACGATGCTGTGGAGTTGGGATTGGGAAGGTGGGGGAGTCGATTGTTATTCTCATATTGGAGGCTCTTCGTGGCATTCTTGCGATACGAGATTTACTAGATGATGACTATTCTGTGGGCGTTTTTTGGATATTGTTGAGAATATCTGGGTTCAGTCCAGGTAGAAGGTGCTTGGGGATCACATGATGTGCTGGTGTGGCAGGCACTGCCCGGTGGGCAATAGCACCCCACCACAATAGAGTGAGACCTTGACACATAACACGATAGTCATACA